CCCCGCGACATGCTGCCCGTGTGGTTCGCGGCCGCCGCGCCCGAGGCCCTGGGCGCCGCGCTGGGGGAGCAGAGCGAGGACTGCCTGTTCCTCAACCTCTACGTGCCCGCGGGGGCCCCGGGTGAGCGCGGGGCACGGGGACATGGGGGGTCATGGGGCGTCATGTGTGAGGTCGTGTGTCGTCATGTGTCGTCATGTGTCGTCATGCGTGTCGTCATGTGTCGTCGCGTGAAGTCGTGTGATGTGTTTGAGGTCGTGTGGGGTCCTGTGAGGTCATGAGAGGTCGTGTGTGGTCGTGTGACATCGTGTGTTGTGTTTGAGGTCACGTGTAGTCATGACAGGTCGTGTGTGAGGTCGCCTGTGGTATGACATGAGGTCATGTAAGGTCATGTGTGCTCGCGGGATATCTTGTGAGGTCGCGTGGGGGTGTGTGAGGTCGTGTCACGTCATGTGAGGTCATGTGTGATGTCATTGAGGTTGTGTGAGGTCGTTTTATGTCACGTGTACTCGTATGTAGTCGTGTGATGTCGTGTGGTGTCGTGTGTTGTGTTGTTTCAGGTCATGTGTAGTCATGAGCTGTCATGTGTGTGGTCGTATGAGGTCGTGTGCGCTCATGTGAGGTCTTGTGTGATGTCGTGTGGGGTCGTATGATGTCATTGAGGTCGTGTGAGGTTGTTTTATGTCACGTGTGGTCGTGAGGTCATGTGAGGTCATGTGTGAGGCCTTGTGTCATGTGAGGTCGTGTGTTGTTATTTGAGGTCATGTGTAGTCACGAGAGGTCATGTGTGAGGTCGTATGAGGTCGTGTGTGCTCATGAGAGTTCGTGTGAGGTCATGTGTCATCATGTGAGGTCGTGTGTGATGTGTGTAGTCGTGTGAGGTCGCGTGGCGTCACATGTTGTCGTGTGAGGCTGGTGGGGTCGCGTGTGTCGTCATGGGAGGTCGTATGTAGTCGTGTGCTGTTGTGTGGGGCCGTGTGTGGTCGTTTTATGTCACGTGTGCTCGTGTGATGTCGTGTGAGGTCGTGTGGGGGTCATGTGAGGACGCGTGTCATCGTGTGAGGTTCCGTGGGGTCGCGTGTTTGGCGCGGGGGGTCGCGTGTCTTCATGTGAGGTCACGTGTGACGTCGCATGTCATGTCCTGTGAGGTCACGCGGGGTCACTTGATGTCACGTGCTGCCGTAAGAGGCCGTGTGGGGTCGCGTGTTGTTCGTATGACGTCACATGATGTCATATGTTGTGCGAGGTCATGGGGAGGTCACGTGTTGTTCCTGGCCCCGCCCTCATCTGCATAACCCCGCCCCCAGACAAGCTAATTTGCATATCCGCGGGGCCTTGGCCGCACGCGCTCCACGCTCGCCCCTCATTTGCATACGCTTTGCATACGCAGGGGCCCGTGTCATTTGCATATCCCCGCCCACCGCCTTCATTTGCATGTCCAGCATTTGCATTTTCATGTTTCCAGGGAGACAGAAATTTGCATACCCGGGGGCTCGGGGCCTTTTGTTCCCCGCCCACCGCTCATTTGCATACACTTTGCATATTCATGATCACCAGGCCCAGGGTGATTTGCATGTCCCCGCCCACTGCCCGCCATTTGCATGTCCTCGCTTCCACCGGGGGTTTTCCTGCATTTGCATAGCCACGCCCACCAGCCCGGCATCTGCATTTCCGCTCGCCTGGGCCGTCACATTTGCATATCTGTGGGCGTGGTCGCGGGCCCGGCCCTCATCCGCATGGCCCCGCCCACACCCGGCCGCATTTGCATCTTGTTTGCATGCGCTTTGCGTGTTTCGGCCCCGGGATCATTTGCATATCCCCGCCCACCGCCCTCCATGTTCCTTTCCCGTGTGTCTTTGCTGCCCACACCTCATTTCCCGGGCCGGAGGAGGCGCCATGTGTGACGAGCGGCGGCGGTGAATTTTTTTCTTTTTTTTATTAAAATTTAAATTTTAATTTAATGCAAATTTTTTTTTTTTTTTTTTTGCGCTTTTTCTTTTTTGCAATTTGTTTTTTTTCGCGGTCACCGGGGACCGCGCGTCACCGGAAAAGGCGCCGCCGCGTTTTCGCTTTTGTGTCTTTTCATTTATTTATTTATTTTTTTTAGCGGATTTTAATTCGAGGGATCGGGAACGCGGGTCGGTGATTTTTTTTTTTATTTTTTTTAATTCTAATTAAATTAGAATTTTTTTCATTTCTTTTTTTTTTTTAAACTAATTGGGATTTTTTTTTAGGGTTTTTTATTTATTTTTTTTAAACGCAATTTTTTGTTTCGACATTTTTTAAACCAAAATTTTGTTTTCCGCCCCCGAGGACCGTGTTTGATGTAAAAAAAAAAATTAAAAAAGTGCTTTTTTTTTTTTTTTTTTTTTTTTTTTTTTAAATTTCCAGCTGCTCCGGCGAGAATTTTTCTTTTTTCTTTGTTTTCACCTTGGATTTAAAATTTTTCTTTTACCATTGTTTTTATCATTAATTATTTTTTTTTAAATATTTTTTTTTGAATGTTTTCATCTTTGATGTCGTTTTCCTCACCGCGTCTTTCGCAGTTGGCGTTTCCTGTTTTCCATCGGGTCGGTTTTTTTTTTTCTATTTTTATTTTTATTTTTAAAAATTTATTTTAATACAAATTTAAATTTTAATTTGATTTTTTTAACCTTTTTTCCCCAATTTTCATTTCCCGCCCACCGCATTTTTCTCCCCCCACCCCCGTTTTTTTTTTTTTTTGTTTTCTTTTTTAATTTTCTCTTCTCTGTCTTTTCCCGACTTTCCCGGGCGCCCACGCGTCGGTCTCGGGTTCTGTGTAAAAATTTTTTTTATTTTTATTTTTCTTTTTCCCCCCAACCCTCCCTCCCGTCTCGACCCCCGACCCAGGAGCCAACGCTCGGAAAATCGCAGACGATATCGCGAGTAATGACCGCGGGGACGACGAAGGTATCGGTTTTTTTTTTTACCCCGAATTTTTCATTTTTTTTTTTTTGTTTTTGTTTTTTCTTTTTTTTTTTTAACCCCGAATTTTGCGTTTTTTCTTTTTTTACCCCGACTTTTGCGGTTTTTGTTTTTGTTTTTGTTTTTTTTTTAACACCAATTTTTACATATTTTTTCTTTTTCTTTCTTTTTTTTTTTTTTGCGCGCTCGAACCTGATGCATGCGTTCTTCTCTTATCGGTAAAATTTTTTCTTTAAACTTTTCATCCTCATCTCTGTTTTTTGGAACCGGTGCGGCGCCGCCGCTGCGTCCTCGTTTCTTGTACGCAAAAGAAAAAAATTCTTTTTTGACCAAGAAAATTACAATTTTTTGACAAAAGAAAATGTTTTTTTTGACAAAGTTTTGACAAAAAAAAATTTTTTTTACAATGAAGTTTATATTTTGAGAAAATTTTGGAATTTCAGGGAAAAAAAAATCCCTGAAGTCCAAGCAAAACAAATTTCAAATTGAAATTTGAAGAAAAATTTGATTTTTTTTCTTCGTTTTCTTCTTCGTTTTTTTCCCCCGTCTCGGTCCAAAGAAGAGAAAACGTGATTTTTTTTTGAAATTTTTTCCCCCCTCCCCGGTGTGCATGCGTCCGTCCCTGTGTGTGGGTCGTGGATGTGGAAATCTTGTTTGCTGTGGAATTTCATCATTTTCAAATTTTGTTTTGAAATTTTAAATTTTTTTCCCCCCACCGTGGCGCCTGGGCAGGTTTCGGGGGCAGAGATTTGGAGTTTGTCGCGGTTTTCGTGGCGCGGGGTCCCCGGGTCAGACGGTCGCTCCTCAGCCACTGGCGCCGAGGCAGGGGGATGATTTCCCCAAGTGAAAAAGAAAATTTTTTTAAAAATAATTTTAAATTTTACAAAAAAAAATTTTTTTTTGTTTGTAAATTTGGGAAAAGTCATCCCCCTGCCTCAGCGCTGCCCGACTCTGTCTCAAAGGAGAAAAAAAAATCACCCCGAACCCGGGTCGGGCGCCCGATGTGCGGCGCGTGGACGCGGGCTCCGCGGTTCCCCGAAATTTAGGTTTTTTTTTAATTTTTGCAGCCGCTCATTTGCATAAATTTGCATATCCTAACACGCTTCGAATGCTCCTCGGGGCAGCGCAAGGATGTCCCTGGGCATTTGCATACAATTTGCATATTTTAATAAACATCACATGCATTTGCATAACAGAAAAAACGTCTGCGTAAATGCACACCACGGCCTTCCATTTACATGAAATTTGCATATTTAAACGCTGAAGCGCCTGCCTGTGCGCATTTGCATAAAATCTGCATATCCGCCGCCCGATCCTCGCCCAAAATTTGCATAGCCGGCCAGGGATTTGCATATTTCAAGCGCAGCCTTTGGGCGTCTATGGAATTTGCAGGTTTTTGTCAAGTCTTGCTGATATTTACACATTTGCATGAAATTTGCATGTTTCCAGTGACATGTGAATAGCGCAGGGAGTAATGAAGTCGCTGGTGGTCGGCATTTGCATAAATTTGCATACTCACAGCAGGCCCTCATGTGAATTTGCATGACCATCCCATGATTTGCATAAATTCCGCATATTTGTCCTCAGACCTACATGAAAATTTACATGGCGAGTCTATGGTCTGCATAAAATTTGCATATTCATACCCAAGCCCTTGTGACAATTTGCATGGCGGGTTCCAGATTTGCATAAAAAGTTGCATTTTTATAACCAGGCTCCCTGGAAAATTTGCATGGCCAGTACAGGTTTTGCCTGAAATTTGCAAATTTATAGGCAGGCCCTAGTGAAAATTTGCATATTTATAGCCAGGCTCATGTGAAAGTTCACATGGCTAGTCCAGGGTTTGCATAAAATTTGCATATTTATAGCCCGGCCCTTGTGTAAATTTGCATCCACAGCCATTTATTTGCATAAAATTTGCATATTTAAATTTGCATGACCTGTTCAGTGTTGGTGCACATATTGATCTCCTCTAATTTGCATGATTGCATAATTTACCGCATGCATTTGCATTACCGTGCCAAATTTGCATACATTTGCGTGAATTTGCATACATTTGCATGCACTCGCGTGCCCCCCGTGGCCCTGGAGCAGCCGTCAAATCTCCCGGGCGCCGGGGCCGCAGCCGTTTGCAAATTCACAGCCCGGGCCTCGCGCACATTTGCATCTCCGCGCATTAATTTGCATATTTTTAGCACCCCTCCGATCATCTGCATACGATTTGCATACGTGAATAAAACCCTCGCGTGCGTCTGCATCGCCCCAAAAAGCTCATTTGCATATTTTCACGCTGCCGAGGCTGCGCATTTGCATGAAATCTGCATCCTGAAGTCAAAGCCCGGGTGGAAATTTGCATAAATGGCCACAAATTTGCATATCGAGGCGCCTTTTGGGGCATCTGCATATCATTTGCATATTCGTGGGTCATAGTTCCGTGGCCCCGACCCCCCATTAGCATATTTTTGCATATTCATGAGTCCCTGGTAACCCTCTATGCATGTGGGAGTCTCTGCCCCGCGCTTCCCGCATGCACACGTGTGTCCCGTGTGCAAACCCCGCCCTCGCCCCACGTGAGCCCGCGTCCCGCGCCCACGGACCCGGTCCCGCCCAAAAACACGCTTAGAACATGCTAGACGCGGTGTCCCCGACCCCCTAACCCTGACAACATGCTTAGAACATGGTTGGACGCCGCACTGACCCCGCGACCCCACGCTGACCCCGCCCCCCGTGACCCCGCGCTGACCCTGCTGACCCCCCCCCCCCCCCCCCCCCGCAGAGGCGCGTGACCCCGGCGGCCGGAAGCCCGTCATGGTTTACATCCACGGCGGGTCCTACATGGAGGGCACCGGGAACATCATGGACGGCAGCGTCCTGGCCAGCTACGGCGACGTCATCGTGGTGACCGTCAACTACCGCCTGGGCGTGCTCGGTGAGGGCCCCGGCATGCGACATGTAACATGTGACATGTAACATGGGACACGGGACACGCGACGCTGACATGCAACATGCGACGAAGACTCGTGACATGTGACCCCAACATGCTACATGCAATCCAGACTCGTGATATGTGACCCGGACACGTGACACAGGACACGTGACCCAGACGCGACACTTGACCCCAACACGGGACGCGTGACCCAGACACGTGACGCGCAACCCCAACATGTGACACACGACATGCGACCAAGACTTGTGACATGTGACCCCGACATGCGACAAGCAGCCTGAACACGTGACACACAACTCCATCATGTTGCACGCAACCCCGACATGTGACACGTGACCCCGACACGCTACCCATAGGGAGAGCCCGGGTGGTTAGAGTGGGGGGACATTGGAGGTTTGGTGTTCTGTGTGTGGTCACGTGTTCTGTGTTTTCTGGTCACGTGTTTGTTCTCCCGTGTTTTCCCTTCACATGTTTTCCGCCCCTGTTCTGAGTCACGCGAATCCCCCCCCCTTTTTTTTTTAATAACATGGAATTTTATTTTCACGTGTGTTCGCGTGTTCTTTGTTTTCTGGTCACGTGTTTTTCCCCATTGAAATTCAATTTTGTTTTTCGATGTTATTGTGTTTCTTTGTCCCGTGCGGCCCCGGGTCCCGTGTGTGTCCCGGTCACATATGTGGCATGTTTCGCAGTCACGTGTTTTCTGGTCATGTGTGTGTTTCCCGCCCCCGAGTCACAGAAATTATAAATTTTATTTTAACTTTTTACGGGATTTGTTTTTCACGTGTGCTCACGTGTTCTGTGTTTTTCAGTCACGTGTTCCATGTTTTCTGGGCACACATTGGTTCTCCAGCCACGTGTTTTCCCGTCCCGTGTTTCCCGCCCCTGAGTCATGGAAATTCCCATCCTTTTTTTTTTCCTTAATTTTACGTCATTTCATTTTCACGTGTGGTCGCGTGTCCCGTGTTTTTCATCCATGAGTTCCATGTTCTCTGCTCACACGTGTGTTCTCCATCCACGTGTGCTCCCATCACGTGTTTCTTGCCCCCGAGTCACAGAACTTGCCCCCCAGTTGTTTTTCCTGTTTTTACTTGTATGGAATTTCACTTTCATGTGTCGGCGCGTGTCCCGTGTTTTCCGGTCACGTGTGCTGTGTCTTCTTATCACCTGTTTTCCGGTCACGCGTTCTCCAGCCATGTCACAGAAATTCCCATCTTTTTCTTTAACCTTATGGGATTTTGTCGTCCCGTGTGGTCACGTGTTCCGTGTTTTCCGGCCTCGTGTGCTGTGTCTTTTGGTCATGTGTTTTCCGGTCACACGTTCTCCGGTCGCATGTTCTCCTGTCACGTGTTCCCTGGCCTTTAGTCACGGAAATTCCAGGTTTTTCTTCTTCCTTTTTTAATTTTACAGAATTTTGTTTCCACGTGTCCCGTGTTTTCCATTCACGTGTTCCATGTTTTCTGCTCCCATGTTTGTTCTCCAGCCACATGTTTTCCCGTCACGTGTGTCCCGCCTCCCGTGTCACGGAAATTCATGTTTTTTTTCCTTTTCTCTTAAGGTTTTCTGGTTTTTTATCATCATGTGTGGTCGCGTGTGCCAATTTTCCCATCACGTGTTCCATGTTTTCTGCTCACACGTGTGTCTTCTCCAGGCACGTGTTCCCCACCCCCGCGTCACGTTTTTTTTTCTTTTCTCTTTAAATTTTTGGTTATTTTTTATCATCACGTGTGGTCGCGTGTGCTCACGTGTGCCATTTGCACACGCCGGCCAACACACGTGTCCCGCCCAATGTTCTCCGGTCGCATGTTCTCCCGTCACGTGTGTCATGCTTCCAGGTCATGGAAATTTCATTTTTTTTCTTTTTTTTTAACCATTCTTGGGATTTTATCGTCCCGTGTGCTCGCGTGTGCTGTGTGCGCGCACCGGGCCGACACGCGTGTCCTGCCCCATGTTCTCCCATCTTGTGTTCTCCCGTCATGTGTGTCCCCCCACCCCCCGGGTCACGGAAATCCCAGTTATTTTATTTTCTCTTTAACTTTTTTGGTTTCTTTATCATAACATGTGGTCGCGTGTGGTTGCGTGTGCCGTGCACGCCGGCCAACACGCATGTCCCGTACCACATTCTCCGTCCGCATGTTCTCCCGTCACGTGTGTCCTGACCCTGGGTCATGAAAATCCCAATTTTTTTTTTCTTTTTTTTAACCATTCTTGGAATTTTATCGTCCCATGTGGTCGCGTGTGCCATGTTTTCCATTCCTGTGTTCCGTGTATTCTGCTCACATGTGTGTTCTCCAGCCACATGTTCTCCCATCACATGTTTCCCACCCCTGAGTCACGGAAATTACATTTTTTTTCTTTTCTCTCTAACTTTTTTGGTTTTTTTTATCATCACATGTGGTCGTGTATGCTCGCGTGTGCCATGTGTGCGCACCGTGCCGACACACGTGTCCCGCCCGACGTTCTCCAGTCACATGTTCTCCCGTCATGTGTGTCCTGCCCCTGGGTCATGGAAATTCCAACTTTTTTTCTTTTTTTCAACCTTCATGCGATTTTATCGTCCCGTGTGGTTGCGTGTGCCGTGTTTTTCATTCCCGTGTTCCATGTATTCTGCTCGCATGTGTGTTCTCCAGCCATGTGGTCTCCCATCACCTGTGTCCCGCCCCTGGGTCACGGAAATTACATTTTTTTTCTTTTCTCTTTAACTTTTTTTTATTTTATTATTTTCACATGTGCTCGTGTGTGCTCGCGTGTGCCATGTATGCGCACCGCGCCGACACGCGTGTCCCGCCCGACGTTCTCCGGTCGCATGTTCTCCCGTCACGTGTGTCCTGCCCCTGGGTCATGAAAATCCCAATTTTTGTTCTTTTTTTTTTAGCCATTCTTGGGATTTTATCGTCCCGTGTGGTCCTGTGTTGTCGCATGTGTCGTGTTTTCCATTCCCATGTTCCATGTATTCGGCTCGCATGTGTGTTCTCCAGCCGTGTGTTCTCCCATCACATGTGTCCCGCCCCTGGGTCACGGAAATTACATTTTTTTTTTCCTTTTCTCTTTAATTTTTTTGTTTTTTTTTTACCATCACATGTGCTCGCGTGTGGTCGCGTGTGCCATTTTTTTCACGCACGTGTTCCATGTATTCTCACATGTGTGTTCTCCAGCCATGTGTTCTCCCATCACGTGTGTCCCCTCCCCCCGGGTCACGGAAATCCCTGTTTTTTTTCTTTCTTTTCTCTTTATTTTTTTTTGGTTTTTTATCGTCCCGTGTGCTCGCGTGTGCTCGCGTGTGTCATGTATGCGCACCGCGCCGACACACGTCCCCCGCCCCATCTGCCCACCCCGCAGGCTTCCTGAGCACGGGCGACCAGGCCGCCAAGGGCAACTACGGCCTCCTGGACCAGATCCAGGCGCTGCGCTGGGTGGAGGAGAACGTGGGCGCCTTCGGCGGGGACCCCAAGCGCGTGACCGTGTTCGGCTCGGGCGCCGGGGCCTCCTGCGTCAGCCTGCTCACGCTCTCCCACTACTCGGAAGGTGAGACACGCGTGTTCACGTGTGTTCACGCATGTTCATGTATGTTCATGTATGTTCACGCGTGTTCACGCATGTTCTCGCATGTTCATACATGATCCCAGTGCCCCACATCGACCCCCAAATCCCTCCTCGAACCCCCACCCCCCATTTCCCTCCCCTCCACCCACATATCTACCACATTATCCACCAAACATACATGCAACACGCATGTCACACGTGACCCTGCACCAATCCCATGATCCCTGTGCCCCATGTCGACCCCGTGTTGACCCCACATGACCCTCACATCCCCCCTCGAACCCCAAACCGCCAATTCCCTCTCCCTCCACCCCACATCATCCCTCAATCATTCACGCAGAACATGCATGCGACATACATGTAACACACGCGTGTCCGCCCCCCCGCCCGCAGGCCTGTTCCAGAAGGCCATCATCCAGAGCGGCACCGCCCTCTCCAGCTGGGCCGTCAACTACCAGCCGGCCCGGTACGCGCGGGCGCTGGGCGCGCAGCTCGGCTGCCCCGGGAACACGCGATCGTCATACATGTCGTCATACATGTCGGACCCGGGTTCTTCGTGGGACTCGGCCGCGCTGGTGTCCTGCCTGCGCCGCGCGGCCTGGCGGGAGCTGTCGCGGCCCCGCGTGACCCCCGCGCCGTACCACGTGGCCTTCGGTCCCGTGATCGACGGCGACGTCATCCCCGACGACCCGCAGATCCTCATGGAGCAGGGCGAGTTCCTCAACTACGACGTCATGCTGGGCGTCAACCAGGCCGAGGGGCTGCGCTTCGCCCGCGCCGCGGGGGCCCCGGACACGTATGACACATACGACAACATGCGTAACACATACGACAACATACGTGACACATACGACCGCACGTATGACAAATATGACCGAGAAAACGGGGATTACAGGGATGATAGCATGGAAAATGACTTCCGGGGTCATCATGGCCGCCGCAGGGACCACGAGGAGGACACGGAACATGGTTACCAGGGTCGCCGCGTGAACACGGATGATAACATGGATGATAACATGGATGATAACATGGATAGTAACACGGAAAACGATTACTGGGCTAACCGGGGTAGCCGGGGTCGCCGCGTGGACCCCGACAACATGGATGACACAGATGACACGGATACCATGGAAAACACGGATAACATGGGAAACCAGTACCGGGATCGCCGCGTGGACCTGGATAACACGTATGACCGCACGTATGACGCTTACCGGGATGCCCGGGGCCGCCGTGGCCGCCGTGTGGAGCCGGACGACACGGATACCATGGAAAACACGGATAACATGGGAAACCAATACCGGGATCGCCGTGGTCGCCGCGTGGACCCCGATCACACGGACAACATGGATGACACGGATAACACGTATGACGATTACCGGGGTAACCGGGGCCGCCGTGGCCGCCGCGTGGACCCCGACAACACGGACGACACGGAAAACGATTTCCGGGACCGCCGCGCCGACCGCACACACGACCACACGCATGACGACACGTATGACGCCGCCGACACGTATGACGCCGACGACGGCGTCTCCGCGGCGGCCTTCGACGCCGCCATCGCGGCCTTCGTGGACCGTCTCTACGGCGACCCCGGGGGCGTGGCTGACCCCGGAAGTGACCCCGGAAGTGGCCGTGTGTCATCGTCCTCGGCGCTGCGCGAGACCGTGAAGTTCATGTACACGGACTGGGCGGCCGTGTCGGGGTCGCGGGCGGGGTCAGGGGTCGCAGGGGTCACAGGGGGGTCAGCGGGGTCGTCGTCATGGCGCCGGCGCGCGCTGACGTCACTCTTCACCGACCACCAGTGGGCGGCGCCCGCCGTGGCCACGGCCGACCTGCACGCGCGCTACGGGTCGCCGACGTACTTCTACGCCTTCGCGCACCGCTGCGACCCCGGAAGCGGTGACCCCGGAAGTGATGACCCCGGAAGTGACCCCGGAAGTGACCCCCGGGCCCGCCCCGCCTGGGCCGAGGGCGCCGCCCACGGCGACGAGCTGCCCTACGTGTTCGGGGTCCCGCTGCTGCTGCTCGGGGGTGCAGGGGTCACGGGAGGGGACGCAGGGGTCGCGGAAGGGGTCACAGGGGTCACGGGCTGGGCCGAGATCTTCGCCTGCAACTTCACGCGTGGTGACGTCATGCTGAGCGCCGGGGTCATGACCTACTGGACCAACTTCGCCAAGACGGGGTGAGTCACGGGGTCGGGGGGCGGGGCTTGGGGGTCAGGGGGCGGGGTTTGTGGTCAGGGGGAAGAGTTAGGGG